AATTCTAGAATCACTAATCCCCCAAAACCCCAAAACCCCACAATGATGGAATCGAAAGATATTTGTGTAATTTTACAAATTTGATAGAGAAATTGAATGCTATCAAATAAAATGATATCTCTAAATTTCATAGTGAATAAAAGAGTTCTATTATTATATAGAAAACTATGGATCCATATTTCAATCTCTAAAGCCATGATCTGTGAGAAGTTTTTATGCTTTTTGCATCACAATCATGGCAGCTCCATTTCTCAGGAATATACTCTAACTGCCAGGTATGATTCCCCTATAGAGTCCCTTTATTCCATTCCTTTTAATGATATCTCTACCTCTAGCCATCATATTCATTTTACTATCATCATTCTGAGCTTGAATCTAATTTTTAATATTTTCAAAAGGCCAGACAACCCAAAATCCAAACATGGCTGACCCACCCGAAGCTAAGAACTGCCCGACTTTAGAATTAAATGCATTTGTATGTCTCCTAAAATTATCGATGAGGATGAAGTATGTTGTCATTAAGCCAGTTGTTCTAAGATATAAAACTCCAAACCCTTGATAGGCATGATTCAGTTAATATGTTTAGCCTGTTTATCTCTTCACTTTAGCATACTCAAATGGACACTCTACTATTGATCTTGCTGCTGAAGACAACATACCTGATAAAATAACTCTAGGCTGTAGTCCCCCTGTCATCGGAAGCGGTTATGTCAAAGTATGACTTTTTTCCCATTTCGTATAGAAAAGCTCATATACAGAAAATTGCAAGGAGCGATAGATAATTGAGCCGAAAAATGGGGGGACACAGCCACGATAAAACCCAATGGGACCTTATGATTTATATAGCTGTTTCACTGTATCGATATAACCAGTGTTCCTTGTCAAATACTCTTGCTAAACCTGCATCTTTGTTTTAATAGTATCAAAAGGATGACCCACAATGGTATTGGTAGCTCCATAAAGGACCCCTGTAATAAGAGAGAAGAATCCTTCCTTGTACCATTCTGTTCTTTTGTGTGAGTGAGTCATGTTGATGATACTACTATTTTGAAACTTAGTTATTAATATTTATCAATGAGTTATAATATATACTAAAGCAGAAATAAAATCACAATCTACTTCTCTGCTAATAATATATATCAATGGGGTTTTGGGGTTTTGGGGTTTTGGGG